AAGCAATAATGAGTTTCTAAACGGATGCTCAAAGCAACTGGCTTTATAGTTGATGCAGGAATCAGATAATGGTCTTAACAAAGACTACAATAATCGTATGAATGTTTTCTATATTTAAAGATTTTTTTCTGAATTCTCTCTTGGGTAGATTTAAACATAACCTGCTTCCTTAATTAGACTCCCCTTTGCTTTCAAGAAGGAGCTCTGATGGCATAGATGGTAAGGCATTCGGCTGCTAACCCCAGAGTCATCGGTTCAAACCCACCAGCTGCTCTATGGGAGGAAGATGAGGCAGTCTACTTCTGTGAAGATTTACAGCCTTGGAAACCCAATGGGGGTTGCTCTGAGTTGGAATGAACTCAGTGGCAGTGGGTTCGGTTTGGGGTTATGGTTTTGTTTGTTTGTTGCTTTTAAGGTGAATTCCATGTACTTTCCCATGGCCCACAAAACCAAAAGCAAACAAACAACAAAAAGTGCCATCACCTCTATTCCAACTCAGGGCACCCATTTGTGTCAGAATGGAATTGTGTTCCATAGGATTTTCAGTGGCTGATTTTAGAAGTAGAATGCCAGCCCTTTCTTCCAAGATACCTCTGAGTCTGTTCCTTTGGTTAGCAGCCACACGCATGAACTGCTGGCACCGCTCAGGAACTCCTCCGTGGCCCATAAGGCCCTGAATAATCTGAGTCTGTCCACCTCTGGAGTCCAGTATCAAATGGTTCTGCCCCCCCGCTTCATTCCAGCCACACTACTTTCCCTCTGTTCCACTAATGCACCATGCTTCCTTCTGCCGCCTGGCCTTAGCGCATGCTGTGTCAGATGCCAGGAATGCTTTCCCATTCACCAGGCTAACTCATCTGCTTCCCAGACTGGTCAGTCTACTACATTATAGGCTCTCCAAGAATCCTGTGCTTTCTTTCCTAGTATTTAGCACATTTTTATAATCATATGTTTATTTTATGACTGTCTCTCCCTCTGGCCTGTAATCTCCATGAGAAAATGTACCATATCTGTTTTGTTAGTAGTACCTAGTAACCTAGTACCTTACTATGCCTGGTGCACAGAAGGAACTCAACCAGAATTTGTTGGAAGGGTGGATAGATGGATGGATGGAGATTGATGGATGGAAAGATGGATGGATGGATGACAGATGACCAATGGAGGATAGATGGGTGAATGATGGATGGGTGAGTGGAAGTGAATAGATGGATGGATGGATAGTTGGAGGTGGATATATAATGGATGTTTAGATGACGGATGGAGAGATGGTAGATGGAAGAGAGCTGGATGGATGGAGATGAGTGGATGGACGGGTGGATGGATAGATGGAGATAAGTGAATGAGTAGATGGAGATGGATGGATGACATATGGATGGGTGGATGGACAGGAAGAGGACAAGTAGAAAATGGATGGATGGATGGATGAATGGAGATCGATAGTGCAAAGATATTAATTTTTTTTCTTTAGTAGAATAGATGGAGGAAGGGATGGAGATGGGTGGATGGATAGATGGAGGTGGTTGGATGAAGGATGGATGGACAGACGGGTAGATGGATGACAGATGATGGACAGATTGATGATAGATGGAGGGATGGGTGGAGATGGGTGGATGGACAGATGGAGATGGTTGGATGAAGGATAGATGGACAGATGGGTAGATGGATAACAGATGATGGACAGATTGATGATAGATGGAGGGATGGGTGGAGATGGGTGGATGGATAGATGGAGGTGGTTGGATGAAGGATGGATGGACAGATGATGGATGGATTGATAAGTGGAGGGATGGGTGGAGATGGGTGGATGGGCAGATGGAGATGGTTGGATGAAGAATAGATGGACAGATGGAGATGTTTGAATGAAGGATGGATGACAGATGGATTGATGGTAGATGGAGGGATGGGTGGAGATGGGTGGATGGATGGAGATGGATAAGTGAAGAATGGATGGCAGATAACAGAAGGATTGATGATACAGGATAGGTGCATGGATAGTTAATGGATGGATGATGGTGCATATGTGGGTGAGTGGAGGGTAGATGGATGGAGGATAGATGAATGAAGGATGGATGGATGATGGTAGGTAAATGTGGTTAGAGACACATTAATACATCTAAGAATGTATGAGGGCCACAGTACACACTTCTGAGAATTCCTAGACTCTCACCACCTTCCACTTGGACCCATTTTGCTCATGTACCAAACGGTTATTGGTTACTGATTCTGCGACAGCCCCTTTGGTAGCAGCTGGAGATGTGAAAATCTCAGTGTCATGGGGAAAACTCCAAAGGCCTTTCTTCCAAAAATTGGCAAATGAAAACCCACTGGATCACAGCAGTCCAGTCTATAACCAACCATGTGGATGGTGGAGGACCAGGCAGTGTTTCATTCCACTGTGTAGAGGGTTGACATGAGTTGGGCCAACTCCACGTCAGCTCCCAGCCACAGCAGTGAGTAGCAGAGAACTTAAAAGCAGATATGACTGGAACTCAGAAGACTGGACTTTATCATTGATTTACTAAATGCCTTTGGACAAGACCCTTCATTCTCAGTGCCTGTTTTCTCGTTTGTAATCTGAAAGGATTAGATGGCACACGTCCCACCAAGTTCCCCTCCTGCACACATGGCAGGCAGCAGTAATCAATCACAGTGCTCCTTCTTGGCTGAGCCCAGATGGGGCTGCAGCCCCTCCACACTGTGCTCAGGCAGTTGTACCCACCTACCATGGCAGACATGTGGACTAAACTCTGTTTCTCACTGTTGGCTGTGTATTAGAATTTTGTTTTGTTTGGGGGAAGAAAAAAAAAAAAACTGAGTCCCAGGCCTTCCCACAGTTAAACTAGATAAAATAGGACCCAGGCAGGTTTTTTGCTTTGGGTTTTATGAGGGGTTTTTTCATGTTGTTGATTTTCTCGTCATTGACATTATACACAGCAGGACATACACCCATCCCGCAGTTTCCACGTGAACAATTCCATGCCAACGATGACATTCTTTCAGTTGTGGAAGCATTCTCCCCCTCTTCCTCTGAGGTGTTCCTCCCCCTCGAACATAAGCTCACTGGCCCAAGGGTCCTGTCGAATCTTTCCAGTTGCTCTTGTCACTTTGAACCCATATAGTAGATCTTGAAAGAGCACAGCCAGAATATATACCAAACCTCGACAGCTTAACACCAGAAAGACAATAGTCCAGTCAAGACAATAGTCCAGTCATGAAACAGCCAAAGCACTTGAGTAGACATTTCTCCGGAGAAGACGTTCAAATGGATACCAAACACAAGAAGAAGATTCAGGTGGATCATGAAAAATAGGGTTTTGAAAAACCCCATAGGAGAGAGTCCATTGTGCAGACAGGGCTGGGAACCACCCGTGCAGATTCTGAATTCAGGAACTGGGTTACCTTGTGAGAACAGGGGAAATCGAGGATGGAACCAGGACACCTGGTTTAAACGCGAGTCAGAGGAATCTGATGCAGGCAGCTGGCTCCTGGAGCCTAGGATTGGGCAGCATCCGGGCATCCCGGCTCATCCTGGGCTCACCATCAGACCTGCATTCTCTAAGCATTTCCCAGTGTCCCTTTCGTAGCAGGAAAACAACTCATCCAGTTTGCTGAGGTGTGAGAGACAAATTGGTTTCTTTCCCACCGCCCCCCAAGGCATCAAGATTAAGGCTTCTGATTAATGATTTGGAAGTCAATTAATCAGCCTCTGCTTTGGAAACCTCATTTCTCAAATTAATTCTCTTTCAACACAAGGGCTTTTTGACATTACATTGCTGTCTCCAGACTCACTTTCCTACTGATTGAAATTCCAAGATATTTCTTCTTCCTGTCAGCTTATTGGTATCTCATGTTTGTAAAATATTTGTAAACAGGTTACTGTTCACCTGTAGTGTGTCAGAGGTAAGCGATAAAATGATACTTCACGTTTCCACCTCAGAGCCATGTGCTGACGGTAACGCTTGAAATTCTCAGTCTATGGGAGAGCTGGTGTTTCATTAATTGATTGATTTTCGCCACACCTCCTGGCAACAAGTATTTGAGATGCATGACATTAAAAACATAGCTACCAAAAAGCGCCAAGTAATTGATTTATATGTTGCTTTAGCAACTGGTTTTTTGCTTTGTTTTGTTTTGTTTAAGTCATGCTGGTTGTGGGCAAGGGGTAGGCAGGGTGAAATTGGGTTTTCTTCATGAGAGAAGATGACAGGATCTAGCTGAGGCTCTAACATCAAACATTTGTGGTCACACCCCAGCCCCTCCACTGACGAGCCGTGGCACTGTGAATATCACGTTACCATGCCTTTTGGGGCATACAACGCTACAAGAACAAATACATACAAAATGTGTCATTACTTAAACCAATAGACACTTATTTCTCACTTGGTAACAGTTCAGGGTGGGTGTTTCTGGCCATCTGATTTCTCTCCTCTAGGCAGTGATTCAGGGATCCAAGCTCCTCTAGGATCTTGTAGCTGTTTTCAGAAGTAGAAAGGGTGCTGAGAGGAGGCACAGCCTGACTCGGCCCAGCCCAGCCCAGCCCAGGAGTACCAATGTCCCTTTGCCCCTGCTTCTGTAGGAGAGAAGTTACCTCCCAGCCACAGCCAACTGCAGGGGAGGCTGGGAGAGGGAGGGTAGCATCTGCCAGGTATCACCTGCCTCTGCTACTGTTTATTGTTGAGTGAGATGATGTGTAAAGTTCCCAGCATCCAGCCTGTGGTCACCAAACCAAACCATTGCTATCAAACCAGTTCTGACTCATAGCAATTCCATGTGCATCAGAGTAGAACCGGTCTCCCTAGGGTTTCCAGGGGCTGTATTCTCACAGGAATAGGTTGCCAGGCCCTTCTTCCACAGGGTTGCTGGGTGGGTTTGAACCCCTCACCATTTTAGTTAGTAGCCAAGAGTGAACTGTCGGTGCTACCCAGGGACCTAAGAGCTCCACAAATGGTCTTGGCTATGCTTATCCAAAAGGGTGACCGTTACGTCCACTTTGTTTGCAGTTTCAAGCCACAGTGGAGGAAGGAGTTGTGGGAGTGATCGTCAATCTGACGGTTGAAGACAAGGACGATCCCGCCACTGGTGCATGGCGAGCCGCCTATACCATCATCAACGGAAACCCTGGGCAGAGCTTTGAAATCCACACCAACCCTCAAACCAACGAGGGGATGCTTTCTGTCATCAAGGTAAGGGGGCTTTGAGCTGCCTTCTCTCCTGTGGGAGGTGGAGGACCTTAAAGGGAGCTTGTGGATCACTGGGTCAGGAAGGTCGTGCGTAAGTCAGCCCTCTTCTCTTCCTCCTGGGAATTACCAGGAAAACAGCTCAGTGCTGAAGAGTGCGCTTGTTTGTTCAGCATCATAAACCGGGAAACCGTAAACAGCTTCTAGAACATTCCAGCTTATCAGTAACCTCAAGAAATCCAAACTCGATATTTGAATGAGATTCTCTGTACCTTCAGTAATGAATGATCAAATAGTCTGCAGAAACTAGATGATGAGAATGTTTTTCCTGGATGTATGCTCAAAGTGGGGTTCTTATAGGTCTTCTTCATATTTCTTAGCAAATCTCAATTGTTCTCATAGAGACAGGAGTTAATGATACATAGAAATAACTCTCAGCATGAGACGCTCTGGGAGCATTGCTGACCAGCTTACTGATTGTCTCTCTGGCTGCAAGGAGAACCAGAAGGAACTATGACAGTGAAGGGAAGCATGTGGTGCATGGGGTTGGACAGGAGGGCTGGTAGCCACAGGGCTGGTGATGCTGCTAGTCTCAGTATCTGACAGGGAAGAATTCTCACACAGCTGCCCCCTCTCTGGAACATTCTCTCCCTGTGAGAGCCTGTGCCACAAATCAGGACATTCATTGGAACACACCTTTTCCTATTGACGGAAAGCAGGGCAGTGACAGCATTCCTAGTAGTAGTGACAGAGGACAAAGCCATTACACCTCTGCCCCCACCTGTGTGCACATGGCCACAGCTTCCATGTCTGTGAAATGAAGATGAGAACAGTAAACTGCCCCATGGGGTTACTGAGAGGAGTTTAATAAGGACTCGGGGTGGTACCATGGTGAAGCACTCAGCTTCTAATCAAGGTCAGTGATTCAAATCCACCAGATCGTCCTTGGGAGAAGCTGTGTCAGTCTGCTATCCTAAAGGTTACAGCCTAGGAAATCCTTTGGGGTAGTTCGGTGGGGTCACCCTAAGTCAGAATCGACTCAGAAGCATACAACAGCAACAACGAGCCAGTATTTAAAGCATTTAGAAGAGTGACTGCACTTAGAGCCTGTATCGTTTCTATTTCTACACCCTTAATGGTCTAAAACAACGCAGAATTGTTACGTGATGTCCTGGAGGTCAGAAATCCACAGTGGGTCTCACTGGGCTAAACAGGGTGTCAGCCAGGCTGATGCCCTCTGGAGGTTCCAGGGGGAGAACCTGTTGTGTTGCCTTTTCTAGCTTCTAGAAGCCGCCCACATTCCTTGGCTCATGGTTTCCTTCTCTATCTTCGAAGGCAGCAGCGTAGCATCTTGCAGACTATCTTGGAGTCTGAGCCTCTGTATTCACCTTAGGTCTCCTCCTTCCACCTTTGATCCTCCTGCCTCCCTCTCACAAGCCCCCTTGTGACTACATTTAGAGACCACCCAGACAATGCAGGAGAATCTCCTGGCCTTTCCCTCACTCCCCTCTACAAGTGTCCCCTTTGCCATCCAAAGTAACCTTCACAGGGTCTCGGCATCAGGAGGTGGACATTTTTAGGGGTCTTTTATTCTGTCTGAAGTCCCTAGGTGGTACAAGTAGTCGGCACATTCGGCAGGCCACCCTGAGGGGCCTGGCAGTCTAATTCCAAACAGTCATTCACTAACAACTCTGAGAATCACAGTTCTCCCCCGGCACCCATGGGTCTCCTTGAATCAGAATTGACTCAACAGCAACTGGTTTTCATTCTGTCTGTAACAGAACCATCTACTCAACTTCCCCAGCAGAGAACCACAGTGATCCTAGGGGCAGGACCTGGGCCATGGAGAGCAGCAAATCCAAGAGACGCTTCCAGCTTGTTCCTGAAGATGATGGTCCCAGGTGTCTCTCAAGCCCTGCCCTTTTCAGTACCTTGTCCAAACTGAGTCTCAAACATGGTTGTGAAAGGTGGCCTCAGGGTCTTCCAGTTCCTCCCGCAGTGGCCAAGACAGCCTCCCACATCCATTGCTATCGATTTGAAGCTGTGAAAGCCATAAAATAACACAGCCACTAGCTGACCTCCCTTCAAGAATTGTCAGGCAGCTTCCCAAACCTGCTGTGCAGAGACAGAACTCGGCTGTAAATGCTTATCCCTCCCGTGAACCCTGCGGAGCACAAGGGAAAGAAACTCCATGCAGAACTCCACTTAGGGACAGGGTTGTTCCTATCCCACCCTCTAGCCTCTGCCCGTAACACCATGGTCCCCAAACGCTAGTGTCTCTATGAAATGCCTGTGGTGCTAGTTAAAATGTAGCTTCCTGGTCCCAGCCTGCACCTGCTGAGTCACATAGGAGGGAGAGGGCCTGGGAGTTCTGGTGTCCACAGTGCACGTGGACATGGCGGTTGGACCACCCAGGCTGAGGAGCTCTGCCTCAGAGGAAAGGGACTCCAGCAGCATGCCTACCCCCCTGCAGATTGCCGGGAAGGGAATTCCTCAGTGTGCTTCAGTCTCACCAGTGCTTGGAATTATTTTCAGAATTGAGACCCCACTCCCTCAGGCTGTCTGCCACATGCATCAGTAAGAAGGGCCTTGAGTACTCCCTGCTCCTCATACACCTGAGTCAGAGCCCCAGGTCAGCCTCCCAGAGGCAGGGAAGGCCATGCTTTCTGGTGTTTTCCATGTTGCCAGAGATCCAGTGTATCATTAGGAATGCTTTCAGCTGCAAATAAGAGATCGCTGGCCTGATATAGTGGCTTAAGTAGTAGAGAGAATTTAAGGATCTCCATCAGTAGGCCAATCAAAGACTGACAGCTTAGGGTTCTAAAGAGATGGCAATGGGTGCCCCAGAGGCCTTTGGCTTTTTCCTCACGTACATAAAATGACTGCCACAGCCCCGGACATCACATCGTCTTTCTCCTGTGCCCTAAGGCCAAAAGCAAGGAGGCAGTCAGGCAAGTGAGAGAGCTGCCACTCGTGTTCCCCTCTGCTTTCATCAGGAAAGAAAAACCTCTCCCACAGGTTCTCCAGCAGACTCCGGGGGTGTTTCATTGGTCATACGGATCCATGTCCACCCTCAGCTGCACGGAAGTCTGGGAAAGCTCCAATCTGATTTTTTTTTTTTTTTTTTTTTGGACCCATAGACATCATTGTTAATGATGAAGATACTGAAATTGTCAAGGGTTTCATTCTACTTGGATCCTCAGTCATTGCCCCCAGAAGCAGCAGTGGAGAAGTCAAACTACATACTGCATTGGGCATATCTTCTGCCAAAGGCCTCTTTAAGCCTTTTGAAAACAGGTGTCTTTTTGATGACTAAGGTGCACCTAATCGAAGCCACAGTCTTTTCAGTCATCTCAAGTGCATGCAAAAGCTGGACAATGGAAAAGGAAGACAGAAGAAGAAGTGGTGCATTAAAGTTGTGATGTTGGCAAAGAATAGCAACTGTGCTGTGCTGTAGATGGTAAAAAGAGCAAACCCATGCGTCTCAGGATGCTCCCTGGAAGCAGGGATGCTGAGACTTCATGGTGCTTACTTAGACATGTCATCTGGGAAGACCAGTCACTAGAAAAGGGCATCGTGGTTGATAAAGTGGACGGACAGTAAAAAAGAGGGAGCCCTCTCATGAGGTGGATTGGCACATTGGACCAACAGTGGACTCAGACGTTCCGACAGTTGTGGAGATGGTGCAGGACTGGGCGATGTATGAGTCGGAGCCAACCCGATGGCAACTGACAACAACGACACAGTAAGAGATGGACAGAAGAGCAGGGGCCCACCCAGCCAGCTACAGCCCTGCAGTGCTGCAGAACGAGCAGGGGTGTGGGGTGGTGCTGGGCTCCTGTGGAATCCTGCCCACCCCCACCCCCGACTCGACTCCTTGTGGTTCTGACAGATGAGCACTTGTTTCACCTTTAAAACCTTCTGGTCAGAATCATCCTTGTTGCTTTGGAAACTTATTCCACTACTGTCTGGAAAGTTGTTCTTTCAGCTGAGTGTAATCCAGTGTGTCTTAAGTCTGTTTTCTGCACTGTTCTCAAAGGGAAATAGCCAGCAATCATCCTTGATGCCCAAACCTGTCACAGACTCCAAAGTCGCTATCGGATGGCTTCTGCGTCTTCCCTCTCCTGGACCATGTGCCCCGGGCCCTTTAGTCTGTAGATGCATCAGCGTGTAGCGCCTCTGGAACAATGGTCCATATCCTCTCCTGACACTTGATGAAATATTAATCAATTCCGATTTCTGTAGCTTTCTTCACACGCATTTTCGCTTTCCTCGCATCCCTGACACCCACTGAGACCCAGAGCCAGACATAGCACCTTAATAAGGCAGTATGTCCGGGCTAAGGGAGGGCTTCTCATCTGAAGAACTGCCAGGGCAGGCCATGGGCAGGGCTAGGAACGCAGACCCTTGTGAGACTGGGGGGCCGCCAGGCCCTTGTGAGACTGGCATCGTTGTGTCCCGTGCAGGGCCAGTCGACGTGGCAAGCAGGGAGTTGACGCTTTAGACAAGCACAGCCAGAGCGTGTGCCCTGCTTATTAGTCCATGCTGTGCCCGCCCCTCCTCTCTCTCCTCTACCTCCATTCCACCCCTTTCTCTGGCACCGTTCACAGCTCACTCCCCTGGAAGTGGAAGTGCTAAGTGAGGGTCGGCCCAGGAGTGTCCTTGAAGAGCCTGGCAGGAGGGTGGTAGTCCTACAGTGCTGTGGCCCCTGTTCCCCTTCCTCACCATCTTAACTGCTTCCCATCATGGATACTTACTGCAGGCTGAGCTCTGTGCAGAGTGTGCCACGCACCTCAGCTCACAGGGAGATTTGCACCGAGATTGTAGGGATGAGAAGGCCAAGGCCCTGGGAGCTGCACTGACTGGCCTGTGGTCTCAGAGTTGGGACACATCAGGGCCAGACCTTGAGCCCAGCCCCGTGTCTTTAGAAGCAAGGGCAGTGCTCCCACCCCTAAGCCGTATGGCTGCCCGGCGTGCATGGAACAGCGTGGCGGGCCAGAGGCGTGTACACTGGGCCGCATCCCTTGCAGAAGCACCGCCTGGTGCAGAAAGTTCACTCTGTCCACTCAGACGTTGTCATCACACTCCCAGGGTCACATCTCAGCTCTGTGCCACTGAGTAGCTGTGTGACTTGGGCCAAGTTACTTAACCTTTCTGAGTCTGTCTCCTGCCATGATGAAGATTAGATAAGATGATGTATAAAAGAACACAGGTCACTCCCTGTACATAGTAGGCAGGCACACCATAAGTGATACATGATATGGGAAATCAGGAAGGCCTGTGATGAAGAGGAAGTAGCTGTGTTAAAGTGTGGCTGTGTATTTGGGGTGTGTATGTGAGTATTGGAAGATGTGGGTGCCCCACAGTTCCCCTTACCGACCAGGCTGGATCTCCCACCTCCCAGACCTGCAAAGGTTGGCTGCCAAAAGTCCCCAGATATCCCCTTCACCAGAAGAGAACACCCTGGCCAAGGAGGTTATTCTTGTGTCCTGGAGACAGCCTGCAGCCAGCGTCGACTGGAATGGGGACGGTATGCAAAAGATTGGCCCCCTGCCTCACACTTCACTCCCCAGGGCACCCTACTACCTTGAGCTGAGTTCTAGACTGTGGTCCAGACCACCCTTGCTGGACTCCTTCTCCTGCTCTGTCCTGCTCCCTCCCTCCCTCTATTCTGAGAACACGCTCCCTGGTAAACCACATGAACAAATCTCTGCCTCATGCTCTGCATCCATGCAGCCTGAGCAGACATATCTCACACACACACACACACACATGCAATCTAACATGTAAATATACGCACATACACCTGTGTAAACACATGTAACAAATGCACATGCATCTAGCATATAAATACACACCTAACATATTAATACAGACCCCTGGTATGTAAATACACACACATCTAACATGTATGCACACATGCATCTATCATAAATACACACGTGTGATATTATACTCACATCGAGCACAATAGAAAAGCACACATACACCTACAATATAAACAGACGTGTATCTAACATACATACACATGCCTCTAACATGTATGTACATACATTTAGCATATATATGCATGTGTCTGACACAGATACATACATCTAACAAGTCTGTACCTAACATACAAATATACCCATCTGACATATACACAGTCTAACATCTGAGTATATGTGAATCTAATATAAATACACAATCTAACATATGAACATGCAATTTAATATATAAATACACACACAGTTTTAGCAAAATGTATATACATGCAAAGTAAGTCCTCGGGTTACAAACACCTGATTCATGGACAACTCCTGCTGACCCTTTAATATTACCTAAATTTGCTCTCACTTTGAAACAACTGACCCAACCCTGTTGTTGTTGTTGTTACGTGCCGTTGAGTCGGACCCAACTCACAGCGACCCCTCCTTGGGTTTCCGAGGCAGTATCACTACGGAAGTAGATTGCCCCATCTTCCTTCCGAGGACCCAACCCTACTCACAACAAAATTCTTCATTGCAATCACCTTCAGTTGGTGCAACTTTTAAATCATTGAAAAGGGGTGGAGCCTTTCACTGAAGTATGTCTAAATGAGAGCCGTATACCCCTGTTCTGACTCACTTACAAACTCACCTTAAAGACGCACCGACGAATGGATCTCCTTCATAACCTGGGGGCTGCCTGCAGTTTAAGGTGATGTGGAACAGGTCACACTCACCATGTTCTCAGGATGCTTATTGTCTTCACTGTCTGGCTCTGTGCCAGGCCACCTTGTACGAGCAGCTCAGCCCTCATGTTCACCACCTTGGACCACAATGGCCTTGAACTCTGGCCCTCATTCTGCTGCATTTAAGAGCAAAGCACCCCCAGCTGGCGGAAATTTAATTTGACTGCATTTGATATTCCACATTCTGCGCATTTTCATTAACTGTATTTCCAGAAAGGTGTTTCTGGGAGCCAGCATAAAGGACAGCCCCTGTGTCTCACAGGGGAGCCCCACTGGGTTTGCCCTGGTGAAGTGTGGTTGGAGGGGAAGTCAGTCCCAGGAGCCTGGCCCGCTCTGGCCCTGTCCAGAGTGCTGAATCGCTGGGTTGTCCGTATCCACAGTGCTGAATTGCAGAGGTACACCAACCTGACAAGCCAAATGTTTCTCTTCCGGTATCCTAATTGGGACGAATCACTGTGTTTTCCAAGCTTGGCAGCTCTGTGCCCTTGTTTGGAATTTGCTTCACTGAGGTTGCGTGCTTTTGGCACCACTGGGGGATTAGCAGAGATCTGCTAGTGGAATCCACAAAAGAAGGCTGGAGTGGTAAATCGGGATGGAACCAAAATATAAGTGGAAGCTTTTAGGTACCCTGATCTCTGCATCTGTTCTGGAAATCTGAGAGCTACCTGCTGGGAGTTTCTGGGGTGTGAAGGAGGAGGGGCGGCCCAGTCACAGCGAGGAGACATTTCAGTGTCAGTCGCCATTTTCAGTGTGCATGTGTGGTGTTGGAGTGTGTCTGTGTGTGCACACGCATGGACAGTAACATGTGGAATGCTTTCAGACAATTGGCTTCGAGTTGAATTGAGTCCAAGTCCTGGTGACCCATCTTGTGTCAGGATAGAGCTGTGCTCCACAGGGCTTTCAGTGGCTGGTTTCTGAGAAGGAGATTGCCAGATCTTTCTTCTGAGGCTCTAGGGGGCCTCAAACCTCCAATATTTTGGTTATAGCTGAGTATGTTAACCCTTTGCACCATTCGGGGACTCCTCCTGATGAGTTACATACTTGTCATTCCTAATAAACGTTGTTACGTGCTGTTGAGTCGAACCCGACTCGTAGCGACCCCTCCTTGGGTTGCTGAAGCAGTATCACTACAGAAGTAGATTGCCAAACCTTCTTTCCAAGGAGTGGCTGGTGGGTTTGAACTGCCATTAGGAAAATAAAAAGTGCCTCCTCAGCTCACCTGCACATACCCTCAGTGACATGAACCTCACTCTGGGGAACGTCACTCTCACTCCATCATGAGCCTCTCTCGGTTTGGAGTAAGAGTGACCAAGTGAGGGTTCTCCACGGCATTCTGTGTCATCATTACTTGAGTTTGCCCACAGCGGTGGGAGAGGGCCTGTCATCCCATTCGGCAGTCACCCAGAGTGCTGTCCTCAGCGCTGCCTGTTGGCACTGGGGCAGGATGATCTGGTACTGTGTGGGACTGTCCTGTGTGTGGCTACATGTCTGCCATCTCTGGCCTCTGCCCAGTGAGACCCTAAGTCACCGTAACAATTGAATATGTCCCACACATTCCCAAACACCCTTATTTGATGGGGAAGGGGCTCAGGGCTTTCCCCCAGGCCTCTTGGACTCTCCAGTCCATTTCCCTCCATCACACCCTACTGAGAATATGGTTCCTGTGCCTGGAAATGCTGTCCTTCAAGTGAGGTGGAGACAGCAGCCCCTAGACTTTGTAGGAAGTGGGTGAGAAATGAAGCTTGGGTTCTCCGGCTCCATTTGATCTAACATGATAACAGAGGGAGGCTTATCATAAACCTAGAAAGATTCAGCAGTCAACTGCTGTAAGGATTACAGCCTCGGAACCCCTGTGGGGCAGTTCTCCTCCATCACATGGGATTGCTGTGAGTCATTAGGAAGTGACCCGCCAACACACAGCACCATCAATGAGGCTTAGGGTTCAGGACCTGTCACTTGCCTGCCCCTCAGGAGTGTTGGAAGTTGCATTTATAGGTTACAGGTAGGAAGACTTCAGTAAGATAGCAGAATAGTCAGACAGGCTACACAGACGCTCTTGTACAGGTTACAGGAGGGTGCCCATTGGCACTGCCAGTACGCTGCATAAAGGGATCTCAGAAGAGACGAGCGAGCTGGACCACTAAGGCTCCTGTGCACATTGTCATTAATTTCTCTTCAAAACACACCCACTTTTGTGCATTTCATGTGCTGTTTCATAAAGAGGACCCACCATTGCATCAGGCTCAGCCTCCCCCAAACCTGCATCCATCCCCAAACATCCCTCACTGTTGGGGGCATGTCCCAGGCACGTTGTGCACAAAGCTTGCCCTTTAGGAGCCAGGATGTCTGTGCATTTAACCTTCAAGTCCTGAGTGCCTTCTCCCTGCCTTCCAGCCTCTGGACTATGAAATCTCTGCCTTCCACACGCTGCTGATCAAAGTGGAGAACGAGGACCCACTGGTCCCCGACGTCTCCTACGGCCCCAGCTCCACGGCGACCGTCCACATCACCGTCCTGGACGTCAACGAGGGTCCCGTCTTCTACCCAGACCCCATGATGGTGAGCAGGCAGGAGAACATCTCCATAGGCAGCGTGCTGCTGACTGTGAACGCCACGGACCCCGACTCCCTGCAGCATCAGACCATCAGGTGAGCAAGCGGGAGGCAGAGCGGAATTGCTTTTCTTTTCCAGTTGCAGGTGCTGGTTGTCAGGAGCAAAATACCATTAAATTAAACTTGCTAATGATCTGGGTGAGCTGGAGGAATGTGTGGTAATGGTTTGTGGTGGATGGTGCCAAGGGACCAAGCTCACTACTGAGGGCAGGGCCCACACACCTGGTTGTCGCCAAGAGACCAGGCAGGGGTAGAGGCCAGTGACTTCAGGCTGTATTTCAAAATGAGTCCCCAAGGGGAGAGAGAAAGTAGCCATCCCTGTGGCCTCCTGCATCTCAGAAACCTGACCCATCTTATCTTTGCTGCTTTGTAAGAAAGATGTTGCTTTTATCAGTTGCCGTGGAGTTGGCAACCTGGTGTATAACAACGCTGCCTGGTCCTGCACTGCCTCCGTGGCCACTGGTGTGTTGGAGCCCATTGCTGCAGCCACCTGTCAGGCCATCACCTTGAGGGTTCCTTTCATTTTCGGTGACCCTGTGCTTTACCAAACGTGATGTCCTTCTCCAGCGGTCAGTCCCTCCTGATGGCACATCCAAAGCTAGTCACCGTCCTGGAAAATATCCTGTGATCCACATGGTTTTTGTTTTCACTGCCTAATTTTCAGAAATAGGTTGCCAGGACTTTCTCCCTAGTCTTAGTCTGCAAGCGCCGCTGAAACCCGTCCGCCATGGGTGACCCTTACAGTATTTGAAATACTAGTGGCATAGCTTCCAGAAGCATAGCAGCATGTGAGCCACCACAGTATGGCAATGGCAGGTAGGTGGTGGGGAAAGATGTTAGTGACCTCCTTACAGCTAAGGGTACAGGTAGTGCCCGGGTCTTGCACATCCCACTTGGAGACACCTCCCACTTGACCTTCAGTGGTATGTAAACTTGCTCTCACTTTGAAACATGGGAACCAACTCCTACTGGAAAAAATTCTTCATCCCAGTCACCTTCCTTGCTGCATGTGCAGGTTTTAAATCATTGGAAAGGCTTCAAGCCTTCTCTTGCATAAAGTAAGGCTAAAAAGGAACCTTACATACCTGTTCCGACTCACCTACAATTTTCACTTGAAGACACACTGAGGATTGGATCTCGCTTGTAACCTGGAAAACACCTGAATTTCAAATTCAGAGAGGCTCGGTTACTTGCTCAAAGCCACACAGCTTGATAGCTGAGGAATCAGGATCGGAACCATGAACCTTCTAGTTGCAAAGCCCATGCTCTCTGCTCAGTGCTGGTTGCCTCTGAGCTCTCAAGGGACAGGAGCAGAGATGCTGCCTGCCGTTTAGGCCATTTGGGTTGGGTTTTAGAATGGCATGCCAAAAGAAAAAGTCTTCACCAATCTCTACCTTTATTCTTAATCTCTCCTCAGTGCTTGTATAATGAGATTTGAGGAAGTTGCCATTACTTGCAGTGTAACGTATCATACAGAGTACAAGAGGACGGTGGTAGTAGGTGGTGTTACAATCAACCCAACTCGGCATGCAGGTTCCAGTGCCTGCCAGTCTCCACAAAAGCAAGTTACTACTCTTTCTCTTCTGCCATCTAATCTCCTTCTCAGATGAGGTATGAACAATTAAGAACTAGACACACTTATCATAAGCAGTGCCCTCTTTCCTTGATTCAAAACACCTAGAAGTGTGGCCCACTCTCGGTGGCAGCCATGTCACCATGGGGTAAGCTGGCTAAGAAGAAGGGAAAGTTTTTTTCCAGTCGCAAACACGGGTTTATTTTTACCGCAAACTTTCTGAAATGTCAGGTGAACTGGATAAAGCTGTGAAATAACAGCACACTCCGTCAAGATGGGATCTGAGATCGCCGACCTTTTTCCTCCTTGTCTCTCTCTCTCTTTTTTCTTTTTCTCTTGCTCGCTATCTGGCGGAGGAAACAGGCAATTTAAACATCAGAGAGGAGGAAGCTTTTGTTAAGCACTTAGGTAGAAAAACCTGCAGCTCTCCACCAAGTTAGGATGACTTAGGGGAGCGCCACTGTCATTTTGTGCTCCTGGAAGGGGAGGTGGGAAAGGAGGCTCCTTGGAAATGAAATGAACTAAAATGGGGTGATGTTGTTGTGCCTCAGGTTCTGCTGACTCCGTTGGAACTTGTGATGCTGCTGGGCGTGAAAGGGTTAACGTCATAAGCCAGAGGAAGTATGGGTATCTAGGACACAGAGCTGGGGGTCCCACTTCAGATGGGACTTAAAGATGGGACAGGCAGTGGGGAAGGTGGGCCGGTCTGGGTTCTTTGATTAGACCAGCTCTGGCCGATGCATGTGGAGTTACCGGGTGTCACCAACAGGTAAAGGCTGGTGATTTGAATCCACCCAGGGGTGCCTTGGGAGAAGACCTGGCAGTCTGCTTCCAAAAGGTCATAGCCACTGCCAGCCCCTTGCAGCCCAGTACTGCTCTGACATGCATATGGTCATCCTAGATCGGAGTGGAACCCAGTACTAGTCTGACATGCATGCTGTCAGCATACCTCGGAAGTGACTCAACAGCAAGTGCTTTGGGGGTTTTGGGGTTTGGCCAATGTAAAAAAAACAAGGAATTTCCTGGAAGACTCTGAGGTAGTTTATGGAATTAAAGATCATTTGGAGAACTGGCTGGGAGAGGTCAGGAATGGAGGTACCAGGGAGGCCCTAGGAACGGGTTGGCTGGCACTTCAGGATCTCCCAGGAAGAAGACACCAGCTCCAATCACTTTCTGTTCTTGGGTCACTAAGCACAGGGTTCACCTTCCCAGGGGTGGGTCTGCTCTGCAGAGCTGGAGTCAGGAGCCTCCCGGTCAGGGTGCCTTGGCTGAGGGTCAAGGAGATGATGTACCCAGCAGTGGCTCCCAACGCAGCAGGGCAGCTGATTAAGGATGACAGGACATCCTGTCTAGCAAGTGTAAAGTGCACTTGGAATGGAACGTGCAATGGAAAATAGTCCCAGCAAACAGGGTTAGGGGTCAGGATCCCAGCATGGGGAGGGGGTGACTGGCAAAAGCCAGCAGTTAAGGAACAGCAATGCCAGGATCTGTCATAGGGAGAGGTCACTAGCGTAGCCCCCTCCATCCTACCAGCAGGAAGAGGCACCCTCCATCCTCTCTCAACAGCACCCACACCCGCCCCAGTCAGGTCTTGGTGAGCCAACCTGGGACACAGACGCATCTCTGAACCAAACAGGGCAGCCAGGGTGGGATGTGCGGGTGGATTGGAATGGGCACACCCCACCCTGGAGCCCCTGGAGGGTCAGCTCCACCTAAACCATGAGGACTTGGGAGGGTGGCTCCCCTGCAAAGCCCGCGAGTGGATGCTGAGGGATGAGGACAGCAGAGAACCACTGTGGCCAGCGTGTTTCCTGGATCTTCTCAGAGAACAGGGCCAGTTTGTTTCTCAGTGGCTGGTATGCCTAAGACTTGTAGCCTATGCCAATTGGTCTGACTGTGTGTTATCCTGACAGATCCCATTCCCAGATTTAAATGGTGGAGGAGTGTGTGTGTATATGTATGACACACATCTCTTTCTCTCTCTTTCTCTCCCTCTCTTCCTCTCTGACTCTCACTCTCTCTAGAATGATTCCTTCCTACTGGGACCCAGAGTCTCCCTGAAGCCCGCCTCGGCCACCCTGGTACTCACTAGCCCTCCTCTCCTCCCTTCCTGTCTTCCCTCCCTCCCCTCTTCTCCCTTCTGCTGGTGCTGAGTTCAGCCAAGGCCCAGATAACACTGCTGATAGGTTGGGCTGTTGTCACGAGGACTCTTAGGGAAACGGAGGCTCGTTAGTTGTGTGCAGCCCTTGATTCCAGACACACAGGTGCCACGTGGAGGGCTGTGTGTGCAGGACGAGCAGGGCTGGGGGGAGGGCCAGGCAGAGACGCTTGCCCAACACTCTGTGGGCAAGGCTCCCCAGGATTCCCGGCAGATGATGTCCTGGTGAACTCAGTGGTTGTTGCCATAGTGACTCTTCAGGGAGCAGGCGGAGGGAGAGGGAAGAAGTGGCCACTGGGTGCACCTTTCATCCCCAGGGGAGCTCTGCGTGTCGCTGACTTAGACACATGCTCACAACGATGCTGGCCAAGCCGTCTGCCCTGAACAGTCTCAATTCCCAGCAGTGGCTTTCTGCTCACACAGTCACCGTGGGTATGTCTTGTCTGCATGTGTGTCCATGTGTCTCCTAGTAGTGGGATTGCTGCATCACATGGTATTTCTATTTCCAGCTTTTTCAGGAAGTGCCATACCGTTTTCCACAATGGTTGCACCATTTTACAGTCCCACCAGCAGTGTTTGAGAGTTCCAATCTCCCACACCCTTGCCAGCATTTGTTGTTTTCTGTCCTGTACTTGGCTGTTAGTGCTGGAGTGAAAAGATATCTCACTGTTGTTTGATTGCGTCTTTCTACTGGTTGTTGATGGTGAGCATATCTTCATGTGTTTGCACACTGCCTGAATGTCTTTTTTGGTGAAGTATCTGTTCATATCCTCTACCCACTTTTTAATTAGATTATTTGTCTTTTTGTTGTTAAAGTGTTGAAGTTGTCTATAAATTTCAGAGATTAGCCCGTTGTCTGCTAGTCATTGCAAAATTTTTTTTTTCTCAGTCTATTGGTTCTTCTTTTACTCTTTTGGTGAAATCTTTTGATGCACACAAGCATCTAATTTTGAGGAGGTCCCAGTCATCTATGTTGTCTTCTGGTGTTTCTGCGTTTTTAGCTGTGTTTGATCGTGTATTGATGCCTGGAATTAGAACCCCTAAGTCTGTCTTTGTTTTTTCTTTGATGGTCTTTATGGTTTTAGGTTTTACATTCAAGTCTTTGATCCAAATTGAGTTCACTTTTGTATCTGGTGGGAGCTATGGGTCCTGTTTCGTTTTTCTGCAAATGGATGTCCAGTTTAGCCAGGACCATCTCTTAGAGACAGTGGCTAGCATTGCAGCAACACTTGAGCCACCAGATTCCAACAAACTGACAAGGGATGGTGTATAGACACTGACATATCCTCAAACAAAGCTGTGGTG